AATTCATTTTCCAACTTTCATATGTGTATGAAGCAGCTGAAAATGCCATGGCTTGCATCAAGCAGTCATCTTTAGCCTGATATCCTTGCTCTTTTGCACTTTAAGGAAGTCCTTGGTGGCAGATTTGTTCAAAGCAATAAGTTGTTTGATTTCTTGACTGTTGTTTCCATGGGAGTTAATTACAGATCCAAGTAAAAGTAAGTTCTTGGCAATTACAAACTTTTCTGTTTATCATGATATTGCTTATTAGTCCAATTGTGAGGGTTTTGTTTTCATTATTTTAAGGTGAAAACTATTGAAGGAATTGAGCTTCATCAGTGTTTCAAGTTCTTCTTGTTTTTTGCAAGCATGGTTGTGTCATAAACAGATGGCAGATTGTTTATGAGTCTTTCTCCAATATTATAGTACAATTTATCAAATTATTTGCTCAGTATAGATATTGAAAAGATATCCTGAAAGAATAGAACCCTGACTCACACTTTTTCTGATTTTATTTCATGATCATTCTACTTGAAAGATTACTACTTTTTTTAAAAACTGGGTTGTGAGAGCAGGATATTTTTTCCTGCTTTTTTATTTTATAAAGTTTGCATACATTGTGTTTCTCACTATTCTTAATTCACATAGTGTTTCTTACAATCATTCCCATGCGTTATGTTTTAGAAAATTAATCATCATTGCACCTTTCCTATCATTACCCTTTCTTTTCAGGTCCCCACTGGATCCTTCGCATTTCCTTCCCTCCACCAACCAAATTGTTCAACTTGTGGTTTCACCCCGACCCATCCTCACCCCTCTGCTCCCACTTCTTCCTTCCTTGGTTCCCACACATGCTTTGTTAATTATCCTTCTATTTTTACAAAAATAGACTTATGCAGTATTTGTTCTCATGAGACTGATTTTATTCACTCAGCATAATGCTCTCCAGTTTTTCCTGAGTTATGTAGTATTTTCTTTGTTGGTTTGTTTGGATTTTTTTTGGTGTGTGTGTGTTTTATTAAATTTTATTAGTTTTAATGAACATTTACAGAGATTTTGGGTTTTTGTTCATTCATTTTTGCACTGTTTTCTCCACCCTCATCCCCAATTCATTCTTCTTCCCCCCTCCCATGTCTGTTTTAATTGTCCAATTGCCACAGTGC